TTTAGGTCCAAGGTCCAAGGGTCAACACAGGTGGGAGTTCAAGGAAAGGTTTGAACCCCAATGCTGCAGGGAGGACTTGGCAGAACAGATAGACATATATGACTTACTACTGAGACACATCCATTTTAACCCTCCAGGCTCTTGGTGGCTGGAAGAGCACAGGAGACCAGTGTTTTGCATTTGCACGTCCCTATCTTAACCGTCAGGCCAGGCCCTCCTGCTGCACACCAACTTCACCTTGTAGGGCAGTGCTACCCAATACAGCAGCCACTAGCCACATGTGGCCACCGAACACTTGAAATGTGGCTGTTCTGAGCTGAGATGGGCCATAAGGGCAACATACACACCGATTTCAAAGACTTAGGAAAAAATAAAATATCTGAACAATTTTATATTGTGGGTTGAAATGACGATGTTATGGATATATAGGTTAATTCAAATATATTATTAAAATCAATTTCACGTTTCTTTTTACTTTTTATTTTTTATTTTTATTTTTTATTCTTTTTTTCTTTTTACTTTTTAAACATGGCTGCTGGAAAATTTTTAATGGTATATATGGTTTGCTTTTCTGTTCCTACTGGACATCACTGTGGCAGAGTCACCAGTAGCTGGCGGGGATCCCAGCAGCCCCTTGAGCTGGTGCCCCCATTATACAGATGAGGAAACCAAGGCTGAGAGCACAGGCAGCTCAGGGGACGTGCTTGGGTGGAAGCAGTGAGCCCCCTCAGGTGTAACCTGCTGGCTCTAGGATCTGAGGCCTTAAGCACTCATGGCTTGCCCTCTGCTAGTAGGTTTAGCTCACCTCAGGGGTGCCACAAAATGTGGACGTGGTCTCCTCTGGCTCTACACCTTCCTTGCAAAGGCCAAAATCCGTCAGTACCACGTGTCCCTGTGGAGGAGGGAGGGAAGGCAGGGGAGGAGGGTGGTCTAAGATAAACGTATGGCGAGGCTTAACCCCACAGCCCAGACGCCACTCCCCAGGGCAGCAGCTATGGGTTCTGATGTCCCTGGCTCAGGCTGGAGGCTATACTCAGAGACCCAGGGCTTCTGGGCTGGATGCTGGAAGCAGCACAGGGGACAAAGTGGGGAGATGGCAGTCCACTGTCTGGCCAGCTCACCACACTCAGACCTATGCCCTATAACAGCGGCAGCTTCAGAATGTCCTTGCTGGAGGGACCTGGTGGCAGCACCGCCTTCACAGAGGGCTGGGGACCCAGAAAGCAGCCATATCCTGTGGCAGCTGGGTGGGCGGGTGGCTGGTGGAGGTCATGGAGTGAATGGATACTGCAGGGCTCTGCCCAGATCTCCTCTTTAAGTGCTGTCATGCCCATCCCCCCATACGGGACACTGCCCTCACCCAAAGTTATGCCCCTCCCCAGGGGCAATCCCCACTCATTGACTGACCAATGAAGGGACTCAGATGCCCAGCCTCCTTGCCTCAATTTGGAACAGGGCCATCCCAGCTCAGGCCCGCCTCATCCCTGTAAGATCAGCTGAGGACTCACTTGCAACCAGGTGAGCTTCCTCCTCTGCCCAATTCTGCCTCTTCATCCCCTTAAAGTAGATCTCTTGAGAGCATTCCCCAATAACCTTCTGTACCCAATGCTTCACCTCAGACTCTATTCCCAAAGAACACCGTATAAGACATACAGGGACTACAAAATCCACAAGCCTCCACCTGGCTCCACCCCTGCTCCCCACAGACCTTGTGTACATATGCGTGCACATATGTGTACACATGCACACGGTCTCGTGTGCACGTGATGCACATGTACACGCATGTGCACATGCATGAGCACATGTGCATACACATACTTGAATGCATCCCTACCCGTATCTATGCATGCACAATGCACACACACCCATGCACACACACTTGTGGGTACACAGCACACATGTGCAACTATACACTGACACTCCCACACACACACACCTGGCAGTCCAAGAGTATGTTCTCTGGTTTCAGGTCCCTGCAGAAAACAAGAGAAAAGTGCACTGTGATGGCTCAGCCCCTTAGTGAGGAGAGTCGGGCACCTGGGGTCCTGGTGGGAGGACATTTCATGGAGACCCACAGAGATGTCAAGTGAGAGCCCAGGGAGGATGGGCAGTTGACCCCAGAAAGGAGGAGGTTCCCACCCTACCCTGCTGGTAGATCCTTCTCAGACAAAGGACCAAGTTCACCAGGATTTCATCACGATGTAGGGACCCACACCACCCCTAGCAGTGGAGGCAGAAGGGCTGGGTCTGGCTCTGAGCCACAGGCAGGCCTCACCTGTAGATGATGTTGAGGGAGTGCAGGTAGCCAATGGCGCTGGCCACTTCGGCGGCGTAGAACCGGGCCCGGGGCTCCAGGAACCTGCGCTCCCGCTGCAGGTGGAAGAAGAGCTGGAAGCGGGGAGGTGTGTAAGAGGGTTTCCTGGGGGCTCTAGCTCCTCGAGGGCAGGGTGGGGGGCAGCTGGCCAAGTTGCCCCTTCTCTGAGCTGCAATGCACTCAGATGACAAAGGGCATGCGGGGCCCCCTCCCCACAGAGCAACCATGGGTGTCCAAAGAGTAAGCAGGAGAGATTGATGCGCATGGATTCGGCACCTACTGTGTTCCAGGCTCCAAGCCAGACCCTTTCACATGTCTTATCTCGTTTAATCCTCATGACCACCTTCAAGGCATCACATATGATGCCAGTTTCACCTAAGAGGAACCTGGGAGGGGTCAGCGCCATCAGGTGACTTGCCAAGGTCACGAAGCTTGCAATTGGCAGAGCTGGTGGTTGAAACCGGGTGGTTCAAAAGTATGTTTTTCCTCCAACTCAGATGAAAAGATTATTATGACTGAGTCAAACTGAGCCCGGGGTTAGATCTGCCCATGGGCCAATTGCTTTGTTCTATTTTGCTGGCATGGAAAACCCTTCGCCTCCACCAGGGGACTTAGGGAATGCAGGACAAAACCTCCTCTCTTGGCATCAGGTCACAGAGATTACATTTGGGGTCACTGAGGGGGCCCCACTAAATTTTGCCATTTGCCCAGAGAGACAGTGAAGTCCAGGAGGGATCTCAGCTTATCTAGCTGTTCTTCTGAGTCACCAGGTGGCCTCAGGTCTCTGTTCACCACAGTGATTGGTCACCTCCACCCAGGGGCCTCTGGTGTACAACAGGGGCACTGGAAATCCCAGCCACAGAGCTCTCTGACCGTTGGCCTTTCCCAGGTCCACCGCAGTGAGTCTGGACAATTTTGTGGGAGGAAGTCAATACAGATCGGCGTTCCAAGCCTGGCTCTGCCAGGTATGGTCTGGGTGGCCTTGAGCAGGTGAGTTAGCTCCTGAGCCTCAGTTTCCTCAGCTACAAAACGGGTCTGGGGTAACAAGGAGGTGAGAACATTCTGGAACCTGGTACACAGTGGGCATGTGGGCTAGGCGGCTCGCAGCTAAGCATTAGCTCAGGGGAGCTCCCTGTGGGCCCACCTACCTCTCCCCCGTTGACATAGTCGAGCACGAAGTAGAGCTTCTCGGGCGTCTGGAAGGAGTAACGCAGGCCCACGAGGAAGGGGTGCTGCACGTTCTTCAGAAGCACATTGCGCTCCGCCATGATATGGCTCTGCTGTGGAGTCACACAGACAGGGTGTCACAGCCCACAGGGCCTCGCTGGTGGTGCTGCCCTGCCCAGGACCCTCTCATGCCCCTCCTCAAATGCCCACTGTGGCTCCTTGTTGCCCTCGGAGCCTGGCTCCGCTCCTGTGTGGTCAGCCTCATGCCCTCAGGGCCAGGGTTCTGCATGCTGCCTCATCCTCAGCCGGTCCATGTGGGTGCAGCTCCAGCCCCTGGATCAGAAACCCCTGCACCCTCCCCCCGGGGTGACAAGCGAAGCCTATGTGATTGCGACACATGTGAGCCCACATTCATGCCTTTTTTCATGCTGTTTTCCCTGCCTGGGCACCCTCTTTTTAGACCATTAGAATC